GGTGGAGGCGGGCGGGAGAGCGCGGTCGCGCCTGCGCGGGGAGCCGCACGCCGATTGGCCGCGTGGCAGCGTGGGGGTGGGCCCTGCCGCAAACAGAGCAGCTATTGGCTGGGCAGCGCGCGAGCGGCGGAGAAAGGCGGGAGGGCTGCGGGAGGCGGGGCCGCGGGGCGGGGAGTTCTCGCTTGCGGCTTGCGGATTGGTAGGCGCTGAGAGGGGGCGGGGCGTGGGGCGGCCCCGCGTGAACGCGGAGGCCGGGCTGTGATTGGGTGAGAGCCCGGAGCGGGGCGGGGTGAGGTTTGCGGGGCGGGCGGGAGCGGCGCGGAGACGCTGCCCCTCCGCTCGCCGCCCCGATGCCGGCGGGCACCGAGCAGCCGGCGGGCGCCGAACAGCAGCAGGAGCAGCAGCAGCCGCAACAGCAGCCCGCCCAGGGTCCGCCGCCCGCGGCCGAGAAGCCCCCGCCGCCATCGGGACGCCGCCGCCCGTCTGCAACTGCCACCGCCGAGCAGGGGGAGGAGAGCGGCGGCGGCGGCGGCCGGGTGCTGAGGGGCGGCCGGGAGCGAAGCCGGGCCGCGGGGGGAGCCGCCGCCTCCCGCCGCCGTAAGGCCGAGTACCCCCGGCGGCGGCGGAGCAGCCCCGGGGCCCGGCCCGCCGCCGCGGAGCAGCCCGCCGCCGAGACGCCGCCCGCCGCCAGGAAGGGAGCGCCCCGCGCTGGGTGAGTGCGGCCCTCCCCGTCCCGTGCCCCGAGCGGCCCCGCTCCGGTTCAGGGGCGCGGCGGGGCGGCTGCGTTCCGGCGCTGTGCCGGGGGTGGTCCCTCAGGGGCAGCGCGGTGCGCTGGGAGTTGGCTCTTATGCCCGGCTTTTGTTTTCCCCAGGTGCACGGATAAAGCTGCTGGCAAAGGTAAGAGCCCGGTGTGTCCCGTGTGCTGTGCGCAAAGGCAGGGCTGTCCCATGCAGGCAGCCACGTGTCTGCTGGAGCTTCCTTTTGGAGAAAGCCTCGGTGTGTGGAGGCATGCAGCTCCTTTCCAAGGTTTCTCTCAGAGCTGTGGAACTGCCGTAAGCTGCCTGTGCTGCTCACGTGTGCCCAACGTGCAAAAACTTTGTTCTCCCAAACAACCACTAGGGTATCCCTCTGCTAGCAGTACTGCAGCCTGCTGCACTGTGGTCTGCCAGCCCCTGAGCTGCTACTGGCATGCCTGGGCTCACATCTGCACTGGGCTGTTCTGAGTAGAGGTGTGGGTGTGCAGGGGCACATGCAAGATATGTGCAGGTGGGTATGCAGCTACTTACCTTTTCTGACTTCGTGGTGTGTAGCAGTGGTGAATCTTGTGCCTTGCTGCTCCCTCAGGGATCATAGAATTGTTGAATATTCTGAGCTGGAAGCAACCCATAAGGATCATCAAGTCCCACTTGTTCAGATTTTGGAGGGAGAGATAGCAGTGTCTTAATGACTGCAATGAAGCAGGCCTTGGCAGCAGTGCTATCAGTGACAGAACTTCTGTACCTCCACATGATCTGGCACGGGAGAATTATAACAGGGGAAAAAACAACAAGGAATGTTGTGTTGCTGTGAGAATGGGTTCACTTTTCCTATTGAATCTTTTCAGTTCTTGTTTGCAGTTTGTACCTAGAATTTGAAGTCTGCCCTTATAGTTCCATAACTTTATTCCTCTGGAGTGGAATCTTCACAGTTCTAACTGACAAGGCATAGTTTTGCAGAACTACCCAAAGTGTGCTGAGCCCAGAGCCCACATGTATGCGTTTACTGCTCATGGTGCTCTGCCCATCCTTTCATGTAGTAAAAACATCATCCTTCTGGGTGAAAAAAAGTTGCTGCGACATTTAACAATGTCATGGCGCTGCCACTTGATGTGCACAGGGAAGTGCTAACAACATATTTTGATGGTTCTTCCCAGTGTTTTGAATACACCAAAGCATACAAAATGGAGTAGTCCTGTTCTTACCCAGTTCTTGAGATGTTCTTGGAAGGGAGACATTCCATAGGTTTGCTGTCTCTCTGATGGGGTACCTTCTTAAAGCTGGGGCTCCAGGAGTCCCAACTGACCTTGGATGTGAGAGCAGGAGAAGGATTTATTACATTTTTTGTCTGTGCTTCTCTGGAAAGGCATGAAAGCAGAGTGGTGAAGGTGCATTCCTTGCGGACAGGTCATATGTGTGCAGGAGGGGAGCCCTACCATGGTCCCCTCTTTTCACCTTCAGCATAAAATGCGCGAAGGAGGCCAATGAGGTATGAGCAGACAGCAGCTCTCCCTGCACAGCAAGGCTTCTGGCAGTGAGGAGCCTCTGGATTCTGGCAGGTGAAGTGCTGTGTGTTGTTTCCAAAGGTCCATCTGTGCAGGTCTGATGGGGAGATTGCGGGAGGGTAAAATCAAAGCTGTGGTGTGCCAGGGTGCGTGGTTGTTGTCATGCCTGTATGCATGAGGGCAGCTGTGCTGCCAGCTACAGCAGTTGTGTTTCCTGGCTGCTTAGTCACGCAATTGCAATATTTCCCTAATGTGTTTCTATAGAAATATTACCTTTAAAAAGAGTACATTTAATCTCAGCTTAGAAATGGACCTGTATAGCTGTGCAGTGTATAACACATTGGGTGCTCTGTGACACCATGTGCTCTTGTGGAAATAATTCTCACTTTTGTTTGGCCTGAATAACTTGAATTATTGGAATATATATTTAATGAACGCACTCCATGCCCTTCTATTACCAAACTGAGAATTGAGCACTTCCTGTGCTTCTTTAAGCTGTGGCAGCAGTTGGTGGAACTCACTTCTGAGATTCCGTGGTGGGGTGTCAAAGACAGATGACCCTTCCCTGGCTGTGGCCACCCACTTGTCTCTCCCCAGGCAGGGAGCAGCGTGGCCATTGTGTCATCGAGTCCTCATGAGACAGGGCTGGAAGCTCTCTGAGGAAAGAGCTGTTGGTGGATGTTAAGAGAGCGCAGTTTGTTTGGACTTTCTGCTCTTGACAGCGAGTGTTTGATTGTTTTTCTTCAGTTGTTGGCTGTGGGATGTGTGTTTACTGCCCCAGCCCATGTCACCTCTCTATCAGTCACCCAGACATGCTATGGTGCTTACTGCTTCATATCTTATATTGCTGGATGCAGCAGGTGCCCTGTTCTTGCAGAAGCCTCCTATAAAGAAAACGCTGTGTGGTCTCAGGGAGTGACACGGAAGCAAGGCACCTGAAGGTGTGTGCATCCTGATTTATGTTTTAGGGCTTGTGATTTAGGGTAAGGATGAGTTTGTCTGCAGGACTTTGGGATTTACGTCTTTTGTTTACTTTGTGGCTGTTACACATCAAACAAACTGATATGGGTTCTGAGATAGAGATACTTCCTTTGATTGGATATCCCTGTGTGTTGTGCTCCAGGGTCGTAATTACTGAGTGTGCAAGAGGCTGTGTTTATTCCCAAGAGTGCCATGGGCTGTGATGGCCAGTGTGTTGAATGAGGATGGATGCTCTTGGGGTAAGCTCCTCCCCAGAGCGTTTTCCTTTGCTTCTCCAAACCACTCCAGCAGAGCATTATCTCTGCATCTGGTTGCATCTCACCTTTCCCTTCTGTCACTGTCTAATGTTTTCTTGAGAGATCATATCATGGAAGGATGGTTGATGCCTACTAGAGTTAAGGTCCATTGCTAATCTGTGTGTTTTCCACCCTAGATGCTGCTAGTTGAAAGGCAGTTGGGGAGGATCAGCAGAATGGTGAAAGCACCTCAGAATACAGCTGCTTGTCACAAAGTTACTGTTTAAGGGGAGTTCAAGGTAGGAAAAACTCCCAAGATTAGATCAGAAGGACCGGTAGGACTTTAAGGAGAGGATTTTTCCCATATCTCTTGAATGATTTCCTGTTAGGTGCTGGCACCCACCCGGTTCCTACAGCTGATTTCTGCAGAGGCTACTGAAGGAGTTACATAGCATGGGTATGGGGGAGTTGCAGGGAGTGTGAGTGTGGGGGCATTCCTTGGCACAGCAGCTTGGTCAAGTCACAGCTTCTGCTGCTGCCTGCCCTCTGAAGTGGGATTTGGGAAAGTGACAGCGGTGCTGGGTCTTAATCTGGAGTTGCTGCCAGAAGGGAAGCCCATCAGCTTTGTGACAGCTGATCTGAGAAGCAGTGCTCCCTGCTTTTTTTGTTTCACACCAGAGGTGCTTTGATATCCATCACTTCATGCTCTTAGTTGTCCTCCTGGACTTGCAGTTCTTATGACCTGCTGTCCATCACTGCTGTTGCCACTTGCAAGGAAATAACAGGATGCTGGCATACAATCCATTTTCCAGGTGCCTTACTGGGAGGGCAGGGGCCTACTGCAGAAGCTGCTGTTACCCAGGGCTGGTGGTGTTAACAAGTTTATGCACATCAAATGCAGGGACAACAGCAGCCTTTTCATTTAAACTTCTCCCTTTGTTTCAGTCTGGGGAGATTAGAGCAGCAGCCTTTTTGGTTGAAAGAACAGAGCCTGATTATCTGTAATAGGAACATGTATCCCATTTATCTTGCTTCTTGCTCTAATTAGCCAGAACCTGCTAACTGAGGAGCACACTGCTTTCTGCACAGGTACATTGGTGGGAGGAGAGGGGTTTCACCAGGTTAAGTGTGGTGACCGAGGAGGAAGGTTAATTACTATAAGGTGTAATCAGTCAAGGGAACATCTCTTACTGTGTTTTCTCAGAGGTACAGAAGTGTTCACAGTGTGTCTAAAAAAGCAACAAATCTGCTAGACAGTGCTGAAGTGGGGGTGAAAGTGTCACAGGAAAAGGCTCGTTCACACCTTCACTTCAGAGAAGTGGAGCAAAATTTCTGGGTTAGCTGTGTCTGTGGTGTACTTTGTAGGAACATGTTCTGATA